CTGCTAAATTAGGGACGTCTAGCGCAGATAGTCCTCGTGTAGCTTTGCGCGAAATTCAAAACAAACAAACAAACACACATGATATCAAGTACAGTTTTGATAAATCTGATAATCCAGCTCAAGGAAGTTTATTGTAATAAGATTCAATAATGTGGTTGAATCTCAGAAAACATTTTAATCTGTTAGAATTTATTTCTTTATATCTGATTTAACTGCCTGTTCAAGCTAACTTGTTTGATATTTAATACCTGATAAGATAACATGGTAAACATGTTTAATATAAAATGAAATATGAAGCTAAGCAAAACAGTAAATTCTAGACTAAGTTTTTCACATCTATGTATGTATGTAAATCAACATGTGAATTTGCTCATCTGTTAACCTTTGATACAAACTTCTATGATTTTGTTCTTCAGACATAAAATCACATAGACCAGTGAACTGTAAAACTCCACATGTTATGCTATGGTATCAGATACTTTAAATAGAACACAAACCTGTAATTAGTGAAAATTTCACTGAAATTCTCAAATAAGACTGACGATACTCATAGTAACTGTTTTGTGCTATTTATAATCATTAACAATATTTCTTAAAAACAATCTTCTACATCATACAGGTTTTAAAGTAAGGACTTATAAAACAGTGTTTAGGCACCTTTTACTTGTCACAGGTTGTAAAAACCTCGACCAATATCTTATCATCGTGTTTAAAAATTGTTAATCTCAGCTGAAAGATCACCAGTATTTAAGGCGTTCAGTTAGATTTATTAATGTATTTCTCGAATCTTTGATATGTAAAGATCTCATCATAAACAATTTTTTTAATGATTTCTTTGTAAAAATTACTGTTATAACAGCATTTAAAAAATACAAAAGTTATCTTGTACCATCTAAAACCCTATAGCCTAGCTACCCCTTGAACCCTTGGTTACTTTGGGGGAAGGGCATACATGATTTGCTCCTACAGGGCTTCAGAAGAGGTTCAGTTTTTATTTTGAGCCATTCTCACCCCTGATTGCTAAACTCAGTGTAAATATTGGCTTCATTTTTAATTACTTCTTTTATTATGTACTCTGTGTGCTTGCATATTTCTAACTTCATCACAAGTATTAGCAGCTATTAAATATGTAATGGATTAACTTGCATCTTCACTTTAAAAGTATACAAGCTAAGCATACATAGGGACCTGGTGCATTTTTATCATTTGTAATATCATAATAATTTATATCAAAATGCCACTATAATTTCTCATTAAGATTAAGTTTCACACTGACATGTAATTAATTAATTAATTAATAAATAAACATTACAAGAGAATCTTATTAAATCCATCCTCCATTGCTATGATAACTTCACATAGTCTACTATCCAGGCTTAGCTTATTCATAAATTGTGACTGTAAACTTTAAAAAACATGTAGCACAGTCAGAGCCATCCATAGGCAAAAGTGTGGTCTGTACAAACTATGTATTTGGTGCCCCTGTCCCTGTAAAATTGACAATAACTGCTAATTACAATGCTGATTTTGGTGGTCACCCTGTGTGGGGACACGTTGCTCACCCCAAGAGCTGGTCCTTAGCACAGTAATTATAATCATAAGGTACATAAAGAGAAAAATATATGATGAATTACACAAGAATTAGTATTAATATTTTTTTTTATTAAGACTTTTAATAATTCAAATTTTCATGTGAGAACTGATAATTATGTAATTTTATCCTAAATATTCACAATTGTTTGGGCTCAGCATTAAAAACAGGCAAGATAGGTGGCTGCTTAGCGCATCAGTGTGAGTAGGATGCCAGATAAGTTATTGTTCTCCTTGCAATTATTATAGGTAACGTTCTATACGCCAAAAATTTTGAACTTCTGTCTGTTAGTATAGGTGTAGCATAGTAACAAATATGTGTAGACTAAGAATCTGTCTATTTGTATTTCACATCCAGTTTCTACAAAAATGAATCCTGCATTTTTGGTGCTATGATTGAATAGTAAGAGTGATGGTTAAATCACATTACTTAATCAGATAAAAGGTGGTAGTAGGTGCTGTTGACTAGCTGCAGCTCAAAATTAGGAACATCTATGATTAGGTATGACCTTTTGTAACTTTGTACTCAAATCTGGCAGAGACTATACAGTTCTTACTTAAAGAAACCATTTTACTGAAAACTTGTACCATTTTTCCGTCATGAATCATGACAGTTCTGTCGTACTTGTTTTATTTCAAACAGTATTGCACATTTATTACAGTATTCCAAAATTTCTAACAACATGTTTCTTTGACAATATTTGTATAAATAATACGCTTGCGTTTGTCTGTCTGGAACTTTTCTCGATCAATCTCTACAAATCTCGTATCGTTAGAAAGGCCTTTATCCGAGGAGTCCAGGTTGAATATTGACTTTTCCATTCAGAATCACCTTAGCTGTTTTTTGCTTAGTCAAAGTATTTAAGCAACAAGTATGGCAAACGATGGTACAATATCGTCATCACGTGACAAGTAGCTTCATTTCATCTTTAATTTTTTTATTTGCAAAATATTTCACACTCTAAAAATCTTAATCTACATGTAATTTACTAAAAAAATTAATATTGCCATAATTAAAATCATAAATAATATTCAACGTTTAACTGGTATACAATTAAAAACATTTTATTTAGGTAACTTTTTTGAAGGCCATAGATAGGCCTAAATAAAATGTTTTTAATTGTGTACCAGTTTAACGTTGAATATTATTTATGATTTTAACTTGATACACAAGTGCCAAAATACTATAAGATTGCCATAATTAGTATTTATATGGGCTTTCTCACATATTTATGTCTAAATACGCATTTTCAAGATCGTTCAAAATCATATGCTTATCACTTTGTGAACACGCATTCAGACGTTTCTACAAAAACAGCTAAGTTTGCCTTCATTACAACTTTACATTTATTTTGCAATAGTTTAGCTTTGGTTCATTTCATAGACTGCTATAAACACATTTTAGATACTTCCTTTTACTGTTTTTACTGCGAGTTTTATTCTTCGTTTTTATGAATATTTTGTTTCAACTCCTAAAACCGTGTTATACACCGAATACTTATAACTGTTTCATACTCTGTACATTATTATACATACTATTAACTAACATATTTCAGCCGTGGGGACGTTATAATGTGACGGTCAATCCCACTATCCGTTGGTAAAAGAGTTGGCGGTGGGTGGTGATGACTAGCTGCCTTCCCTCTAGTCTTTCAATGCTAAATTAGGTACGGGTAGCGCAGATAGTCCTTGTGTAGCTTTGCGCGAAATTAAAAGACAAAACAAACAAATACACTTTTGGCGTCTCTACATTCTTCTGAGCATGTATTTTACCTCCAAAATTAAGATTGTTCCGCCTCTCACGCATGCCCCGACCTCTTATAAAACCATTTTGGTATTTTTAAATCTCATTCCCATCCTTACGTTTAATTATGTTCTAGATGACTTTTAGCAGTACTCGTGAGGTATGACTGATCAATCCTATAGGCCTGTTTGGCCACACTCAATAACCTTAGATTACTTGAGGATTGGGGCTGAAATTGGTACAGTGTTCATTGTGTCGGTCTAAGGATCTGTGGATCTAATGTTCACGTCCTGTTAACAACAACAAAAAAAAAAGTCGCACTCCTGACTTTGAGGTTGTGAGTACGTTATAAGGTTGGCGGCAAATCCAATTATTCGGTCGGATAAGAGTTTGTGGTGGGTGCTGTTTGCTAGTTGCCTTCCCTCTAGTCTGTCAGTTGAAAGTTAAGGATGCCTTGCGCATATAACTCTTGAGTAGCTCTGAAAGAATATTCGAAAACAAACAAATATGGGAGATAATCAAAAAAAAAAAAAGACATTTTAGAGTCTGTTGGCGTTGTTCTTCCTATATAAATTGATTCACAAATGTAGTCAGATATTGAATTCTTAGAATGTTAATTTCCCTTAAAAATTCTGGGCCAGGTGGTTAGGGTGCTTGACTCGCAATCTGAGAGTTCGAATCTCCTTCCCACCAAACGTGCTCGCCCCTTCAGCCGTGGGGGCATTATAATATGACGGTCAATCCCACTATTCGTTGGTAAAAGAGTAGCCCAAGAGTTGGCGGTGGGTGGTGATGACTAGGTGCCTTCCCTCTAGTCTTTCACTGCTAAAGTAGGGACGGCTAGCGCATATAGCCCTCGTGTAGCTTTGCGCGAAATTCAAAAACAAACAAACAAAAATTCTGTGGGAATCTTTTTAGTGCAACAAGCTTTCTCAATTTTGAAACTTATAATGGCCTCCTGCACATTCCTTTCTAGAATTGCTGGGCCGTTGTTAATCAGTTATATAGCTTTTATGGCTAGTTTTCTTCCCTGGCGTCGTTATACATATTCTACCCACCTTTTTAACATCCTTATTACTCATAAAGATAGAGTTGGAAATATAATCTAAAAACAAATATAGCCGTTAGTATTTACTGAAATGTTACGAAAGAAGTCTGCACGTAATTACTTCAAGTCAGCTGACTCGAAGTAAAATAATCCACTTGTGTCGCATTTCGCTAAACAAGGTCAACCGACTCAATCTCAGTATATATCCTATAGTAACAAACATGGCTCATCAAATGTGCATGGTGTGTTTGGACGACTTTGAAAATTTTGCAGCTAAACATTTGAATAAGAAAGCTTTTGACTATTATCGGAGTGGAGCTAATCAAGAACAAACTCTACGAGAAAATATAGAAGCATTTAGAAGGTAGGAATCTGAAAAGGGGTTCATTGGACCTGAATCATGATTTTTACGATAAGTTACAGTAAAACCTGTATGCACCAGAGGTAATTTTTGTTTCAGAACTAACCATATTTTATATGTTATGATTTTTGATAAACTAGTAATTGTAAATTTTATTTTTCAATAGGCTTCAAAGTACATTAGGCTACTTGTAATTATGATTAATAATAAAAATAATAAAAAATTGTACATCCAACAATGTAATGAAAGAGAGGAATACCTAGTTTGTTTTGAAATTAAGCACAAAACTACACAATGGGCTATCTGTGATCTGCCCACCACGGGTATCGAAACCCGGATTCCAGCGTTGTAAGTCCGCAGATATGCCGCTGTGCCACTGGGGGGCAGGAATACCTAAAACCAATATTTATTTTTTTTTATGAGGTATCCATGAATGCAACTTTTTTTTTCTTTTTGTTATTATTAGAAACTAACTGGTGCTTACTGATAATTATCATTTCTACACAAGTTCGTAAGTAATATAAAATTGATACAGTAAGTCTGAAGGCTTGTAATGTTAAAAATAGGGCTTCGATACCCGTGGTAGGCACAGCACAGATAGCTCATTGTGTAGATTTGCGCTTAAAAATAAACTGATGGATATATATATATATATACATACATTACAGACAAATAAGTTTCATTTTGCTGATGGTAGCACTGTTCTAAGATTAATAAATATGGTGGTTTTTTTTTTAACAAAGCATAAATCCAGGTGGCCATTACACATACGATTTACCTTTCATAAGTATTGTCATCACTGGAATCAAGGAATTATAAAAATATTTCTTAAGCTACTGGCACAATTCATTGGAGAACTCTATCTGAAAGAAAAGAAGTATCAGAACTTTTATTCCACAATTTATCGTTTTTATATTTTAAAACTTCTAATATGGAACGGATTACTGAAAGATTTATAGCAAGTAGTGATATGTTTAGGCAGTGGCGTACCCAGGAATTTGAAATGGGGGGGGGGGGACAAGTCTTAACATTTATATTTGCATATAATTTCTATTCATTTTTATATTTAAACTTTATTATTTCCTGGTGAAAAATAAAAATACAAGCCAAAGGGGGCATGCCTCCTCCGGCTACGCCAGTGTGTTTAGGCATATACAACCCACATGATTTCCACAGTTTTGTCGATATATATATCGGGCTTTCATGAATTTAATTATATTAATTAAATTTCACGAATTTAAATACAACTTACGAAGTTTGTAAAGAAGTTAGAATATGATGATTCTCAAGACAACCGACTACTGAAAATGTAACATCAAACTCACTTGCAATATAAGCGCAGAACTGCCTCCTGAAGTACCAAATTTTGCAAAACGCGATTCACAGCAAAAAAATCTAATTCCCATCTAGGCCCTTTTCTAGTTCCACTATAGTTACGTAGTCTGAACTTTACACTGTGATAATATCTGAACTCGGGCTGTAGTTCATTACTATAATTTTCTCGCAGATTATCCAATATTTTTTTATCAATAATAATTCCCTTTAAATTCTAACCGACTGTTATTTTCTCCAGTATAGTTGCCTAACACTTATAATTGCTAGAATGTTTTTATAAAATTATCATAGTCTTAATGCAAGAAAATTTAATAGCACTTTAACAAATTTGAACGTTACTGAAACACTATATCAGACAACGGTACCTTTTTAAAACTTCTCACAAAAAAAAGTTACAAAATAAAAATATAACGTTCACACGCTATTGAAAAACACTATTACAGGTCGGATGGTCGTTTTCAAACATTTTTTTAAAACAATTTCCATTTTATTGTTAGTGGTTTCGTACATAGTCATGTTTTTCTAATATCATGCAATTCAAATTTCCTAGTTAACTTTAAGCCATAAGTAATTCCAAGAAATTTGGGTGTTACGGCGTTTTGAAAAAGCGCGGAGTATGGCAAAATTTATTTTTATGTTATTTTGAATGCTTGCTGAGACAAACTTAGATTTATCAGATTTTAAAAAATGCACCAGTTATCAAACCATACTTCCAAGTTATTCAAAATTATCTGAATGTTATTACGAACTATTTCTTTACCTATAGAAATTTGCTAGATTGTCACGTACATCAACCAAAATATGTGTTAACAACTTAACACTTCCACTTTTAAGAATTCCATTCTCAGGAATAAGACTTCAATGAATATTTACATTAATACCACGATTAGGATGTAATAGCTGAAGACATCGTATTGGAGAGGTTTTATATTCATAGGCCCTTTCGTTAAACATTATGATTTTATTTTTAAGAAGCAGCCCATAATAAGAACTATATTAACATTTAACTAATATCGAGCTAGATAATTTTTATACTGTTTAATTGTAGAAAATTGATCATTTAACAAAACTGTTTTTATTTGTGTATTTTTACGTCCACACTAGGCTCAAGCTTCGGCCTCGTTTTCTAAGAAATGTTTCTTGTCGCGATCTTAGTACGACCATTCTGGGTCAGCCAATTAGTTTTCCTGTGGGCGTGGCCCCCACGGCTATGCAAAAAATGGCTCATCCAGACGGAGAAGTCGCCACTGCTCGGGGTAAGCTAAAATTGAGAATACGAACATATAAAATGATTCAAGATTTACTTTCTTTTCTAATAACATTTAATGCAGCTCCTGAATGGTAATGGTACGAGTCAAAGCAATTTAATCATTTCCAGTATTCATCAGAGAATTTGTTTAAACAATAAATTTCATTACAGAATTATTTTAAAATATTAATTCTTTAAATTTCTTATGTCTAATGATTTATACTCAAAAGGAAACATTATTCAGAACTACTCTTGGAATTATTCACTCTAATTAGTTGTTCATTTCCTTACTTCCACATGTAAGTGAGCTTTAATTTTCAATATATTTATTAAAATGAGTTTTACTAGTTTGCTACTGATTTCTCTAAATTTTTTTCCATTTTACAATTTACATGAGTTTTATTTCAGAGTATATTTCATCTTTCAAAATTAAGTTTTATTTTCACATTCACAGCCTCTTGAACTTTTTCAATACCTTTTAGATCATAAATGATAAACATAATGCGTGAAATATTAAACGAAAGTGCGCTCATATAAAACATGCGATAAAATCAAGATTATCAGATATTTTCAGATACCTTTCCGCTAAGTATTAAAATATAAAGTTTTGTTAATATCTAAAAGCCGCTGCTGCTGTTGGAACTGTTATGACATTGAGTACAATAGCTACGTCGTCTATTGAAGAGGTAGCCGAAGCGAATCCTAACGGGTTGCGATGGTTTCAATTATACATATATCGAGATCGAAAAGTGACAGAAGAACTAGTTAGGAGAGCTGAGAAAGCTGAATATCGTGCTTTAGTTCTGACTGTTGATACTCCAGTGTTTGGATTACGGCTTGCTGATGCCCGAAACAAATTTTCTCTACCACGTCACTTGAGGTAGGTTATAATGTAAATTTTTGTATCTGAGATCCCAGTGACTTTGTGTGACTCTTTAAAATCACACATCAAGCAAGTTTTAATGGATTCTTTCTCACGTTTGACTATTTTGTT